ACAAAAATACTTTTTCATTCATTCAGTAGGTTGTCATTTAATCAGTATTAAATATCCCCTTTAAAGTCATAAAACTATGAAAGAGAAGTATCTCTTTGTATTTATTTCAGTTTATTTAGTGGAATTCTATAGATATCAAATATTAAGCCAGGGATTTAGCTTAGTGGTGCTGCTGCCTGCCTTGTAAGCACAGGGTCCCAAGTTCAAACCCCGGTACCAAAAAAAAAAAAAAAATACTAAGCTGTACTTAAGTATTGCACTGTCCTACATTTAACATTTTTTTGTGAACATATTCAGAGATATGAAGCCTGGTGACTCCATCCTATTAACCTCAAATTCTCTATAGTGCCATTAAAAAAATTTGGTTACTTGGGGTTAGGTGTAAAAATGCCTTTAGAAATACATCTGATTGTCTAGTCCTGGCCCCTAATTAGTTCTTTGTGCCAATGACAGATGATTTATTAACACTGAACTTCCATCTTTCACCCAGATTTCCGCGGCCTGTGACTGTGGAGCCCATGGACCAGTTAGATGATGAAGAAGGACTTCCAGAAAAGCTGGTTATAAAGAACCAGCAATTTCACAAGTATGTTGTCATGGTAGATTACTTGTTAGGTGTTACCTATTGTTTGTTAGTTTGTTTGCTTGTTTGTTTTTTGAGGCAGAGTCTGTTATGTAGTTTAGGCTGGTCTTGAACTCAACTGTATAGCCCAGACTAGCCTTAAACTTACTGTGATTCTCTTGTCTTAGTCTCCTGAATGCTGGTATTAGAGGCATATGCTACCATGCCTGGCTATTTTTTTGTTAATCTATTCTTAAAGTACTTTTAAAGCGATATGTGAAAGAGACAGCTCTTTTTTTTTTTTTTGTACGGGGGATTGAACTCATCCTTGTGCTTGTGCGGCAGGCAGTGAAACCACTAAGCTAAATCCGCGGCCCAGAGACAGCTCTTTGCTTTACATGTCCATTGGCATTTAACTTGGCTCTCAGAAGGAATGTGTTGCTTCGCTGGGGAAATCTTGAACAGAGTTAGTAATCTTGAAACCTTCTATAGGGAGCGAGAGCAGCCACCTAGATTTGCACAGCCTGGCTCCTTTGAATATGAGTATGCCATGCGCTGGAAGGCACTCATTGAGATGGAGAAGCAGCAGCAGGATCAAGTGGACCGCAACATCAAGGAAGCACGTGAGAAGTTGGAGATGGAGATGGAGGCTGCTCGCCATGAGCACCAGGTTATGCTGATGAGGCAGGGTGAGTATAGCCCTGTCAGTCTTAAAGCTAGAGGAATAACAAAAGGGCTTTAGGCAGGGGTTTCTTTGTATTATTCAGTAGAGAAAGACCTAAATCTCTGCTTTTATTCTCTGAAATATTTTATCTTGGTAGGTAAATAAATGGGTTGGAGATGTGACAGAATACTACATTCTTGGAGGAGGAATTGATAGATTTGACTTCAGTTTTGGAACCTGGGCACTTGACCACCCAGGGGATATTATCCTCTTTGCATTCTTGATCTTTATGGAAAATTATTGGGCATATGTGAAGAGTACTCTCAATTTGTTTATAGATTTGATGAGACGCCAAGAAGAACTTCGGAGAATGGAAGAGCTGCACAACCAAGAGGTCCAAAAACGAAAGCAACTGGAGCTCAGGTAACTTTTCTTGAACCCTTTTTCTCTGGCAACTCTAAAAGGTAATGTTTCCCTCTTGCTTCCTACCACCATGCTGATACATCTGTAAATGTATCGGTGAATATCTCATGGTTGCTTCTCAGGTTCTCCCTTTGGATGGGAGATGTTTTAGCTACCTGTGGTTCTAGAAATTACCTGGGACTGCACTAGAGAGAAAGCAGCTAAGTATTGTTCTCATTAGGCTTCCTTGGGGATTGCCTTAGTTCTGGATGAGCTGATCTGCTTGGCTCAGTCTCCTGTAAAAGATCTACTCAAGTTCTGGAATGCCTCTGTCTTAAATACATTGATGGCTCTCTAGGCAGGAGGAGGAGCGTAGGCGGCGTGAGGAAGAAATGCGGCGGCAACAAGAAGAGATGATGCGGCGACAGCAGGAAGGATTCAAGGGAACCTTCCCTGATGCGGTATATCTCCCATGTGCCCATGAAGTACCAGGCCATTTGTGATATCACAAAACCACCATGAATTGTCTGCTAGGACATGAGGTTATGACCAATTGTTTTCTATGCTATGAAACTCCTTTTAGAAAAAAGGATTCATGAGAGCTAGAGGTAAGGTTTGAAGGGGAGTTCATCTTATCTCACAGGTAATTAGAAATCGAAAGTTGGGACCCCCACTGTACGCTGTTTAGACTCTGGTTGTAGAATGAGATAAATTGAGTTCTGTTAATAGCCTTATTTAATTCACTGCTGTCCTTATAGTTGTAGAAGTTGGAGTCCCAAAATAAATTAACTATTTCTCCCCACGCCTCTCACTTTGTTACTAATGGGAAACGTGTATCCTAATAGCTGTGTGACCTGAACTCCCTGTACAACTAGTAAGGGGCTGTGAATTGTTCTTTAGCTTAGTCTCAGTGCTCTTGGAATGTGTTATCACTGTATTTTATTCCCTTAGTGTGTAATCCTCAGTAGATTGTGGTAGAATGTACTGTTTTGAGAATCTTTGTTTTTCAGAGAGAGCAAGAGATACGGATGGGCCAGATGGCTATGGGAGGTAAGGACTTGAGGCATGATGGCGCTAATTTCCTTTTCTTTGGTATCTGGTGAGCTGTATAGCTTCTCTAACTTGTCCAGATTTAGGGGTCTGATATTTCCAGGAGCATCTTTATTGGGGGGCGGGGCTTGTAGACTGGTGGTGGTGGTGATATCTCAGCCCAGAGTTCTTGTGGAATTGTTTTTCTTCAGTATAGAAAACAAGTCCATATACTGATGACACTACTTTGCTTTAGGTGCTATGGGCATAAACAACAGAGGTGCCATGCCCCCTGCTCCTGTGCCAGCTGGCACCCCAGCTCCTCCAGGACCTGCCACTATGATGCCGGATGGAACCTTGGGACTGGTAATAAACTACAGGGCCTTAACAATAATTTTAAATGGCAGGAGAAAGGGCTTTGCCTTCATAGCACTTGGACCTAACTCAGTTTTATAGGAAATAAGTCTTTAGGACTACTAGTATCCGTGAGATTTTTTGTTTTTTGTTTGAGACAAGGTCTCCCTATGTAGTTCAGGCTGGTATTGAACTCACTATGTAGCCCAGGATGGCCTCGAACTTGCTGTAATCCTCCTTTCTTGGCCACCTGAGTGTTAGGATTACAGGTGTGTACCACCATGCCTGGTTATTATTTTTACTTTTGAACAAATTTAAGCATACAGTATCTGAGTTATGGAACTAGCCAGTCTGATTGCTACCCTGGCTGAACAGGTTTTCGTTTGGAGAGATAAGAATGAAGATTAGACATTATCACATAAAATAGATATGAATCCAAAGATATGGCTTGCATAATCCAGAGGTTTTAGTTGTAGTGTAAAATGGGTAGTGCCAACAAAGCTGGTTAGGGTTAAATTGCTGGAGAGTGATGGCCTGCTCTTGTTTAGATAATAATCAGGAAAAAGGACTTGGCTAGAACATAGCCAACCTGCAATTTAGTATGCTGTGTTGTTTAGTCAGTAGTGAGGAATATAGATGTTAAAAGTAGGATGACTCGATTTCTCTCTTAATTCAGACAACTTTCCTCTGAGGGTTACCCGGTGCTAGCATCAGGAGCCTTGAATAGTTGAATGGAAAGTATCCAATGGAGAGAGTGACTAGGTGAGTGGGAAGCTTAGGACAAAGATTCTATTGTAACCTTGTTCTCTTTTTCTCTTTTAAGACCCCACCAACAAGTGAACGCTTTGGCCAGGCTGCTACAATGGAAGGAATTGGAGCAATTGGTGGAACCCCTCCTGCATTCAACCGTGCAGCTCCTGGAGCGGAATTTGCCCCAAACAAACGTCGCCGATACTAATAAAGTTGCAGTGTCTAGTTTCCTGAATCCCTTAAAAGAAGGAACCCTTTTGGACTAGCCAGAATTCTGCTTGGAAAAGTGTTAGGGATTCCTCCCAATAGTTAGTTCTTCCCTGCCTGTACTACTCTAGGGAGTATGCTGGAGGCAGAGGGCAAGGGAGGGGTGATATTTAACAAATCAATTCTGTGTGGTATATTGTTTAATCAATTCTGTGTGATGCATTCCTGAAATCTCAAATATTAATTGTTGAAGGCCTGGGGGAACCATGGCAAAATGGTTCCAGTTAGAGTCCCATTACTTATCATTCCATTTTTTTTGTCTATTGTGTTTTTATTTGCTTTCTTATTCTTACACCCCTTAATCCCAGAGACACTGCCACATATGCCACAAAAATCAAACATCTCCCAGTGACCTTAGCCCCATTGCTCCATTTGCTCCCAGGTGAGAATTCAGGCAAATGTCCACAGAAGTCACAGACAGCATATGTATGGTTCTGTTATATCCCATATATTACCCTTTCGTGTACTAAAGACATTTTCTCTTAGAGATTTTCATTTTAGTGTATCTTTAAAAAAAAACTTGTGTTAACTTGCCTCCATCTTTTCCTTGGGTAAGGACATCCCAGGAATGACCTTTTTGTGTCTATGATTGTTGCTGCTCACAGCTTTTCTTGATAGGCCTAGTACAATCTTGGGAAGAGGGTTGCTGTATGCTGAAAGTCTGACAGTAGCTCTTAGCCTTGCCTATCTTAGGTAGTTATGCTGTGCATTTTTTATTCGTGTACCATGTTTGATTTATCCCTGATACCTTAAATTTGGAGTTTTTCTGAGAAATGGAACAGTAATACAGCATCAACTTATTAAAGTACATTTTAAGCCTTTTAATTTTCTGTGCTGTTTTTAAAGGGTAAGGGAGGGAAGGGGATATTTTAGGACATGAACAGTAGGCTCATAAGGGTGATCCTTTATGACCTTTGAAGTATTAGTCATCTAGGCAGATGGGGAGGAGGTGGGAGTAAGGTACATACAGTGATTGAGATGGTAAGCAAGGATCAGTGCAATAGACACTACATGGAAATAATGATCCCAGGGAAGCTTGCTCTTTTTTTTTTTTTTAAATGGAACCAGGGATGGAACTCAGGACCTTGTGCTTGCCAGGCAGACTTGGTGCTACTGCACTACATTTCTGGCCTTGGAAGTTGGATTTTTGAGATGGTCTCACTATGCAGTTCAGGCTGGCCTTGACCATGCTATGTAGCACAGGCTGGCCTCCAACTCTCAACAACCCTCCTGCCTCAGCCTCCTTAGTGCTGGGATTACAGGCATGCATTGTCATGCCCAGCTCCCAAGAAAGCTTTGAAAGGAAAATGAGCTAGAGGAACTATATCTTCATTGAAATGGTGAGGGGTGGTCTCTATTGGTATTTTTCTGAGCAGCTGCTGGTAACGTCAGAGGCTTGGAATTGGCAAAATCTAAAACTGTCTCAGCAGTGGTTAGCTGACTTCACACAAGTTCCAAGCGCTACTCTGATCCCTTTTTTCCAGAGCCTCAAGAGCTAAAATTCTCATAAGCTCCTTCCTATTGGCTGGGAAGACCAAGTGGAGTTCCTTGCCCATGTTAGGAGTTGTATGCCTTCTGAACTAAAGATAGAACCAGTGGGCCCTTCCAGGCAGCTAAAAGCCTCCAGAGTAAGAGGTGTTTCCCGCTCGGCAGACTCCTTGAAATAACCCTCTCAGTAATTCTACCAATACCTCCATGTCTCTACTCTGCCATAACAAAGGCTGTGGGCAACAATTTGACCCCAATAACAACCTTCCTGGTGAGTAAATCTTGACCTGGCCAGAATATCTAAAGGGTGCTTGGAAGTGGGTGGTCAGCTGTGGGGCTGTCTGTTGAGCAGGGAGAGAAAAACTTGATGTACTGGCTGTAATTGGTCTAAATGATCAATCTTTGCTGGAACATTCTATATTACATGGAAAGAAAACAAACATGCCAGGCATGGTGGTTTATGCCTGTGATCCCAGCCTCAGGCTGAGGTAGCAGGATCACCTTGAGTTGAAGGCCAGCCAGGGGTACATAGTGAGACCCTGTCAAAAGACATAAACCTGGAGAGAAAGTGAGAATCATATTTGGTATAGTTCTTCCTTTCTTCCCTTGATTTTTCAACTGGTATTCACAGATTCCTGTTGCTATCACCATGGGGTCCCAATCTTCCATGATGCACTCAAGGTGAGGAGTAGGTGAGGGGAGATAGCAAGAGAATTTCACAAAGGAAATATACCCAGAAATCTAAGCTCATCTGGGTCTCTGTTACCAGGGTTGGTCCTGCTGCCAAAAGCGAACTGTAGATTTCTCAGAGTTCTTAAACATCAAGGTAAATTCCTTTACTTCCTTGGATTCTGCCCTTAATAGAAAGATTCTATTTCTAATCCTTTTCTCCTTATTTATACTAGGGCTGTACTATGGGACCACACTGTGCTGAGAAGCTTCCTGAGGCCCCTCAATCTGAGGGCCCTGCTACAAGTTCACTTCAGGAGCAAAAACCTCTGAATAGAATTCCAAAGTCAGCAGAGACCTTGCACCGAGAGAGGCCTAAGTAAAGAGGCGAAAGCCCTTGAGTTTTCCCTACATTTATGTAGCATGCTAGGAGTGATTAAATGGATCATTGGTATTTGGGAGATAGGGACCAGGGATGTGAGGAGGGTTTGGAAAGTACTGTATATACAGTATTCTCTGCCTTAGGGGAAATTTGTGTCTGGAAATTTCCTCCACTCTAAAGGGGTCTGAGGATGATGGGATAGATTATTTTTCGTCAATGGAATAGGTAGCTTAGTACCTATTCCTAAACATTGCTAAAACATGCTTAGTAGATAACACAAGGAGGATTGTTGAGAATGACCTTTTTTTTCTTTCTGGAAAAGAGCTTTAAAATAAATCTTACATAGAGAACAGAAAGTATTGGGAACCAGGAGGCTACAGAAAATAATTTTGTGAGAATAATAGCGACAGTAGAAATCTATTTTAGGTCCCACAATTAGGAAGATGAGATGATGCAGTTCATTTAGAACAGCTGAGTAGATGTACAAGAGAAGTTTGAGGGATTTATTTCCCTAGAGTTGAATGTGGGATGTTCACAGAGATGAAATTGGCAATGGGTTGAAATTGTTTAAGGTGTGTGAAATGCATGTACCAATTTCCCAAAACAACCTACCATCATTTAATATTAACATGCACTAACAAAAAAAAGTACAAGTGGAAAAAATTGGCAGTGGGGTAACTACCCAACTTCCTCAACCCTGCCTCACTTTAACCAGATTCAACTCCACTACCATGAGTGAGTGTTGAAGCTGGCAATCATGATTAATGGGCCAAAACTAAATCACCTGCTGGGCGTGCTGGTGCACGCCTGTAATCCCAGCACTCAAGAGGCTGAGGCAGGAGGATTCCTGCAATTACAAGGCCAGCCTTGGTAAATAGTGAGTTCAAGGCCACTATGCATTGCAAGACCCTATTTCAAAAAAAACAAACAAAACTATATCACCTGCCTATAACCCCTAGGTCAGAGTTGCCTCTGAAGCTGCTGCCACTAAATATATCTCATGTCCTAGAAATGGCATTGGAACAAAAGGAACTAGACCAGGAACCTGGAGCAGGTAGGTGGATTCTTAGGAGGGCAGACTGGAATTTAGTAGAATGGCCCTGGGGGAGGAGGGGATGAATAGGTTCCTGACTCTATTTCCCTTGCCCAGGAATTGATAGTAGTCTGATCCGGACTGGTTCCAGCTGCCAGAACCCAGGATGTGATGCAGTAAGAGTTTTGGGTAGTTCATATTTGTGGCTGAGAGATGCTACACCTGAGAAATGACTGAGTATAGACATGGGGGTGAGTGGGGTACACCTGAAAATGACTTGATTCTTTTCCTAATGCTCCTTTATCCTTGTTAGGTTTACCAAGGCCCAGAGAGTGATGCTACTCCATGTACCTACCACCCAGGAGCACCTCAATTCCATGAAGGGTGAGAGAGGGGACTGGGTAGTTTGTGAGACAGGTTTCTCCCAATATTGATCATAAATGTGGGAGCTTGGGGGTAGGAATTCAATTGAATTATCTTCCTGCCTCAGGATGAAGTCTTGGAGCTGTTGTGGCATCCAGACCTTGGATTTTGGGGTATTCCTGGCACAGCCAGGATGCAGAGTTGGTAGACATGACTGGGGGAAGCAGGTAAGCCCCAACTTTCCTGATTCTTAATTTTTTTTTTTTCTGGTACAGGGGATCGAACTCAGGACCTTACCCTTGTGAGGCAGGCACGGTGCCACTGCACTAAATTGATTCTTGATTAAAACCTGATCCCAAAGATAAACTTCTCCCTGTACCTCATAGCCAAGTGCCCTTTTTTCTTTAATATAGACCAAAAAAGATTCAGCTCCTGGGCCAGGGATGTGGTAGAGTGCTTGCCGAGCGTGTTCAAGGCCCTGGATTCTATCCCCAGCACCACCAAACAAAAAGATTTTTCACCTTATTCCTCTATAGCCCAGAAGGTTTTGCCATATGAAGTAGTGTTAATTTTTCTAAGATTCTGCCTGGGTATCTTCAAATACCTGATGAGAGCTCCTCTTGGGTTAAGAGTTTATCTTTATTTTTTTGTACTGAGTATTGAATCCAGGGACTTCACACTGAGCTGTATCCCTAGCTTACCTGCTTGCTTGCTTGCCTTCTTTTCTTTTTTCTTTTCTTTCTGCAGTATTGGGGATTGAACCCAGGGCCTTCACACTGCGTTATACCCCAGCCCTTTTTAATTTTTTGAGACAGGGTCTTGCTAAGTGCCCAGGCTGGACTTAAACTTGCTAACCTCCTACCTCATCCTCCCACGATGCTGGGATTACAGGCATGTAATCTAAGAGTTTATTCTTACCATTCGTATTTCACATCTTCTCTTTAGCTACCAGCATCTTGCCGCCATGATTGGCACCAGACAGATTCCTTAGTAGTGATGACTGTATATGGCCAGATTCCACTTCCTGCATTCAACTGGGTGAAGGCCAGTCAAACTGAGGTGAGGAATGATCTGATGCAGGATGGAAGGCTAGTGGATTGGATGATATTACAGTTTTACAGGCAGAGGTGCTATATGCAGTTAACCTATAGGCTCCATAGTCCCCTGAGAGGAAGGGAGAACTGTTAGGTCAGAGGTGTCTGGCTGACCTATGGGTCACACTCTAACCTGTCCCTGTCATGATGACTTGTTCTGACCTTCTACCCTTGTAATTCTTTTTGCTCAGCTTCATGTCCACATTGTCTTTGATGGTAACCGTGTGTTCCAAGCACAGATGAAGCTCTGGGGGGTAAGTGAAGAGAAGGAGGGGAGGAAGATGAGGTGAAAGAAGGGCCAGACTGGAATACTTAGTGTCCTGAGGGAAACAGTTTTAATGGGAACTTCATTTGCTTTCATATTCCCTCCCCCTCCTTCTCCTCTTCCTCCTTCTCTGTCATCCCTCTTCCTCTGCCCCATTTCTTCCCCCTTGTCCTTTTTTTATTTTTCTCTCCTCACCACTCCACCCAAACCCCAATCCCTTTAATTTCCTTGTTCTTTCTTTCTCTTGTGTTCCTCTGTCTTTCCCTCCTCCTCAGGTCATAAACGTGGAGCAGAGCTCTGTCTCTTTGATGCCATCTCGGGTGGAAATCTCCCTTGTCAAGGCTGACCCAGGATCCTGGGCCCAGCTGGAGCACCCCAGTGCACTAGCTGAGAAGGCTAGGGCAGGGGTTGTGTTAAAAATGGATGAGGAAGAATCTGAGGATTCAGATGATCTGAGCTGGACAGAGGAGGAGGAAGAGGAGGAAGCAATGGGGGAATAGTGACACCAGACAATTTAGTGTCTAGCTAGGACTCTAGTGACTCCCTTACCATCTCTGGTTGAACATGTGGTATCATAGAGCAATAGGAGGCTAAAGAAGGAGAGAATAAAACTGTCCAAACCATACTGTTTTTTTCCCATAAATAAATCTTGTATTCTACAGTTTCACATAGTGTCATTCTCTCATCCCACTATGTAAAAGACAGTATTCATTCCCCCAACTTCCCTGTGTGCTCGACACACATGTGAAAACAAGCACATATACATGCATTCTGTTCTTCACAACCACCAGGTATTTACTGGATATTTCCTCTGTACCCAGTTATGTGTTAGGTGCTTTAGAGATACCTGAGAAACAGAAGATTTACTCATTCCTCTCAAGAAAATTATATATTGGCTGACAAATCAAGGCTAATCTACATGAAATAAAAATAATCATTATCAGACAGTGTTATAGTGCTAAACTGTATAGTACAGTTTTTTCTTTTTATCTTAAAAAAATTTTTTGTACAGTGTTTAAGAGCTATAGAAATCAAAAGAATGGAGACATTACATGGTTTGGAATAAAAACAGAAGGCTCCATGGAAGAAATAACATTTTTAAAATTTTGTTTTATTTGTGCTATTGGGAAATAAAACCAGGGACTTTGTGCTGAGTTACATGCCCAGCCTGGTTTTTGTTGTTGTTGTTGCTTTAATTAATTAATTAATTAATTAATGGTGTTTTGAGGCAGGGTGTTGCTGTGTAGTCCAGGTTGACCTTGAACTCACTATGTAGCCCATGCTGGCTTCAAACATGAGGATCCTCCTGCCTCAGCCTCCCATGTGCTGGGATTACAGGTGTGCACCATCATGCCTGGCTTTGTTGATTTAGTCCTAAACATATTTTTCCAACATTTTTTTTAGCACATATTGGTTATACAGATTACTAGGAGTAGTTTTAGCAGGTTTGTAAATGTACATAATTTTAATCACTTCTCCCCACCATCCCCTTTCCTACCATTCTCCCTACTTTCACATTTTTTGGGGATTCTAATACATATAATGTATTTTTATTAGTACTTGTGCAATATATAGTGTTTACATTCAGTTTAAGGGTTTGATATGTACACATAGGCATCTTGATCATTTTTACTCCCCCTGACCCCCTGTCCCTCTTCCCTCAGATCCTCTTCCTATCTCTACAGAGTCTACCTCACTGTTTTGCAACATGGCCCTTTATTTTGCTCTTTAAATTTTTTCTGTTTTTGAGCCTGATGTGGTAGTGCACGCTTGTAATCCCAGTACTTGGGGGGGACTAGACTGAAGAATTGCTGCAAGTTCGAGGCCAGCCTGGGCTACATAGTGATGAGTTCAAGGCCAGCCTAAACTACATAGTGAGACCCTGTCTCAAAAAAACAAAAAAAACTTGTTTAAATTTTTAGTCTCAGAGAGACCGTGGGATATTTAACCTAAGTTATTTCACTTAGCATTATGGTCTCAAGATCCATCTATTTTTGATCATATTTATGCTTTCTCTTACCTCCCCTTACATCCCCTCCCTCTCCCCCTTATTCCTTTCCTCTTGTCTAATAATATTCTCCCTTCTACTTTCTTTTTGTTTTTTTTTCTGGTACCGGAAATCGAACTCAGGACCTTGCACTTGCCAGGCAGGTGCAGTGCCACTGAGCTACATCCCTGGCCCTTCCTTCTACTTTCTTGTCCTCTTTTTTAGATTCCATATATTAGGGAGAACATGAGGTATTTGTCTTTCTGAGTCTGCTTTATTTTGTTCAACATGATTGCCAGGTCCATCCATTTTTCTCCAAATGAAAAATTCTTATCTTTTTTAATGGCTGAATAATACTCTATTGTGTATATATACTTTTTAAAAAATCTATTCATCTGTTGATGGGCACCTAGGTTGGTTCCATATCTTGGCTATTGTATATTGTGCCACAATAAATGTGAGTATGCAGTTATCCCTATAGTCTGCTGACTTTAATTCCTTTGTGTATTATCAAAGAATTGTATAGCTAGATCAAATAGTAGCATTGTTTTTAATTGTTTTGAGACGCTTCCATACTGATTTCCATAGTGGCTATTGCTAATTTACATTCCCACCAGCAGTATAGAAGGGTTTCTTTTTCCTCAAATCCTCACCAGCATTTTTTTTTGTATTTTTGATTATAGCCATTCAGATTGGGGTGAAATGGAATATCAATGTATTTTTTATTTGCATTTCCTATTTTATAATTTGACACAGAGTGTCACAAAGTCAGTAAATTGCCCAGGCTGAAATTGAATTTTTTAAAATAGCAAAACATTTATTGGTACATTTTAGACATACATAATGATAACACTCATCATAGGGAATTTGCACCTGTACACAATACCGCCCGCCTCATTTTTTCCCATTCCCCCCTTCCCTCAAGCTCTCCTCCCCTCCCTATGTACAAAAGCTTTGTTTCCATTTTTTCCTTCTATTTTTCCTTTTTTTCTTGTCCCTTCCTTCCTTTCTCCCTTCCACCTCCCTATCCCTCCTCCCATTTGAACATTTTCTTCCCATTTCCCAATATCTATTATACATTTTAGTCCTTATTTCCACTTTTGGTTTCTCACATCAGAGAAACAATGTGGCATTTAAATATGTGTGTCCAATTTATGAAATTGCATTTGAGATTTTCCTGCCTCAGCTTCCCAAAGTGCTGGGATCATAGGTGTACACCACCATGCCCAAATGAAGAAGTATATTTTGAATGAAAATCTGAAGAAAAGAGATTTATTTGTATGGGTATGGAAGAGTAGGGAGAATAAGACTGGGGCAGAGGGTATTTCATTTTACTTTTTTTTTGGTGCCGAGGATCGAACTCAGAACCTTGCACCTGCAAGGCAGGCTGTGGAACAACTGAGCTAAACCTTCGGCCCCTTTTATTTTAATTTTTTAGCTTTTATAGTACTGGGATTGAGCCTAAGGCCCTTGCCCTGAGCTACATCCTCAGCCCTTTTTAATTATTATTTTATTGGCTGAGCTCCAACTTGCAGTCCTTCCACCTCAGCCTCCCAGAGTGTTAGGATTGTTTTTGGTTTTTTGGGGGGTGGGGTGGGGTTGGACTTTTTTGAAAAAAATCAAATTGTAAACTTTTATTACAAATTAAAAATGAAGTTCTTAAAAAATCTCAACTTGACCAGATAGGAAACAATTTAAAAACCTTTAAAGGTGTATTGAGAAAAACCAGACTTTAAAAAAAAAAACAAAACACGTTTGTCATTACCAAAAAGAGACCTCTTTAGGAAAAATAATAAAAACCCCATGCTGCATAGATAATGCAGATAGTTCTAGTTATCTGGTCAATGGGCAAAAAGCAAGCACTTATGGTCTTCAGTTCCCAATCTTTTGTTCATTTCTTATTGCTGGAATTTCATATTTGTTTCTTCTTGCTGGATGACTAAACCAGATGATGGTAGAGATGTTAAGCCGGCATTTACTCAGCCCTGCCCTGCTCAGCCTTGGAGTGAGGATTGTTTTTGTTTTCTTTTTTTTGGTTTTGTGAGACTGGGTCTCACTCTGTAGCCCAGGCTGGTCTTGAACTCACTTCAATCCTGCTGCCTCAGCCTCCTGACTGCTGGGATTATAGACATGAACCACCACACCCAGCTAGTGTTAGGATTACAGGCATGTGCTACCATGCTAGGCTCTTTGTATGTGTGTGTGTTTGTGTGTATTTGAGAGGAAGTTTCTCTGTGTACTTTAGGCTGGCCTTGAACTCACTGTGTAGCCCAGGCTGGCCTTGAACTCATATCGAACTCCTCCTTCAGCCTCCCAAGTGCTGGGATCACAGGTGTGCGCCACCTGGTTGGGTATAATGGAGATTTTTTTTGAGTGTGTATGTGTGGTGCTGGGAGTCAACCAAGGCCTTGCAGAAGCATTCTGTCACTGAGCTTATTATGCCCCTGGCCCTAGAACATACAGTTAAAATTTTTTTTTTTTTTATAACTCAGGATTGAACCCAGGGCCTTTGCACTGAGTTACATTCCCAGCCCTTTTACATTTCGAGAACAAGATCTTGCTAAATTGCCAAATTGCTGGAGCTCTGCTCAGAATTATAGTTCTTCTGCCTTAGCCTCTCTGAGTGCTTGTATTACAACCATGCTCAGTTTAGATTCTTCTGAGCCTTTTTTTGTTTTTTGGTGCTGGGGATCAAACTCAGGACCTTGCTCTTTCGAGGCAGGCAATGGAACCACTGAGCTGAATCCCCAGCATCAGCTTAGATTCTTAAATAGAAGAGTTATCTTTTTTTGAGTCTTCATTGAGTTATATTTACTCCCTCAGCAGAGTAGCCAAGAATCTGATAGTTGCAAACTCCAAGAAACATTAAACAAGGAAGGTAACTAAACCTAAAATTATCTCAAGTTGTTTTCTTAGCGTCTTTTCCTGTCAGTTCAGAGTCAATGAACATAAGGTCTCATTGGGAGCTAGAAGGGAGATGAGGTAAAAGGGATAAGCAAAGGTGCAAGATTAGTGTAGCATGGATGAGAATTTGGAGGTTGAGGCAAGATTAGGGATGTGCTGGGAGTGGTGGTGCATGCCTATTAATCCCAGCACTTGGGAGGCTGAGACTGGAGGATTGCTGAGTTGGAGGCCAGCCTTGTCTACATAGTGAGTTGAAGGCCAGCCTGAATTACATTGCAAGACCCTGTCTCAAAAAATAATTAAAGAAAGAAAAAGATTAGGGAATGTTAGGGAATGTGTCCAAGGATATGACTTCTACCTAAAGAAAAGTTTGATCAGAAGTAAAGGGGCTTCCTGCACCTCCAAGATATTTATTCTGGCTTTGCTGTTATTCTATGGATTTGGAGTACAAATAAACTTTCCCTTTTGAACTGAACCCTTTAGAGTCCTTTTTTTTTTTTTCAGTATTAGGGATTGGCTTTTGCACTAAGTTCCATTCCCAGACTTTTTTGTTTTGTTTTGTTTTTTTGGTACCGGGGATTGAACTCGGGTCCTTGCGCTTGCGCAGTAGGCGGCAAAACCACTGAGCTAAATCCCCGACCCACTTTTTCTTTTCTTAATTTTGAAACAGAGTGTCCCTAAGTCACTAAATGCCCAATTGCCCAAGCTGGGGTCGAGCCTGTGACCTCACTGCCTTAGCCTTGAAAAGTGCTGGGATTACAGGAATACAT